CCCCCCCCCCCCCCCCCCCAAAAAAAAGGGTATTCCTTACTTGGCTTTGTTGAAATCTTTGAACAGCTGATGGCCTACTTGAGTCTGGCTGCTGTGGCGGCTGCTACACAGTCTGCCTTGTTTGCAAAGTTTGGGCAGAACGAACTGCAATGGATGAATATATGCAGCCTCTATGGGAAGTTCTGCAACCAAGTCGGGGAAGGCATCGCGGCTTCGTTCATCCTTAGCATCACCATGATCGTTCTCTCGGGCATCTCGGCTTTTAGTCTCTTCCGTTTGTACGGCGAAAATAAGTCCAAGGGCAATGCAAGGTGAAGAAGGACTAGGTGTTGTGTAGTATTTAAATAGCTCTGGACTTTGAAGGCTAGTAATAGTGGTTGTAGTAGTGTCTTTCTCTTGGTGGCCTTTGTATTCCTCTTGTATGTTAAAAAGTTGGTTGCTTGGTGGTTGTTGCATCTTGTTTTATAAAACTTTTGATGTACTTTTAAAATATGTAATTTATATTTTTCACTATTATACTAATTTATACTCTCTCCGTCCCCTTGTATTTGTCCACTTTCATTTTTACACATCATCCAATGCACTTCTTTAATCCATTTTATCTTGTAATTTGTATATTAAAAAATTATAAAAATTATATATTAATAATCTATATGCTAAGACAAATCAAACAAGATCACACATAACTATATTTAGGCTTACACATTGAGAGAATTTGATGAGTCAAAGTGCTTAGATGAATAGTTCTAAAAGTCAAATGTGGACAAATACAGGGGGACGGAGGTAGTATATAAAATTATTTTAAAAGATATAAAATTTTACAATTCATATTTAAATCGTTCAAAATAACGATACTACGATGTGTGCCCTTTCCCACATCATTTTGATCACATTACTATGTATCAAGGTTAGTTAGAACGTCTCATTCACCGTCTAGAATATTTGAGCCTATTAAATTTCTTATGGAATACTGCACAATATTGAGTTGTTACTTAGGGTCTATTTAGTACACAGAGTTACAGAATTGGAATTGAAACGAAAGTTGAAATTCTATGGAATTGATTTGGATAGAATTGAATTCTCTAATTCCAATTCATTTTTTGCACTACCAATTACAAATCCACATATTTTTATGCTATCAAACAGTAAAATTGAAATTGTTGCCTCTAATTTCAATTTTATAGTTTGAATTCCGTGTAACAAACGAAGCCATATAATTTTTTGGGCTATTCAATGAGAAATCGAATTTACCCGTACAACCATGTATATCCCGATCTTAGACAAAGAATATTAGTGGTTTTAAAAGATGAGACAAAGACTAAAGTAGGGAAAATTATATTATACATCCGGTTGTACCTAATTTTGGGTACAACCAAGAAATTATTTATGATATGGATTTTATTATTCATGAGAACGAACACTAAGTTATTTGAGAATAAGTACTATTTTGTTTCAGAATGAACACTACATTATTTGTAAATGAATATTATAATTATATTGAACCAATGTGTGAAAATGAGTACTGCATTATTTTAGAATGAGTATCACGCTAATTATATTTGTGCGAGAATGAGTACTACTCTACTTCAGAATGAGTACTACCTGGATGTACCGTACATCCAGTTGTACCATATACCTTCTTCTAAAGTAGGAGTAAAACATTAAAAATATACCAAAATAGGACTTCCATGTTTTTATTCTCGAAATAGGAGTTAAAATGCATTTACATTACCAAACGTAGTCATGTACATTACCAAAAAGTGTAGTAATGTGCACGTGCACAGTGCCACATTACCTCCACATTATCACAGTACGAACTCCTATTTCAGAAATAAAAATATGGAAGTTCTATTTTGGCCTTTTTTTATATTTTAGTCTTATTTAGGGTAATTTCTATTAAAAGATATGGACCTAAACCCAAGCCTATTAAATAGCGATTTGACCCATAACCAACTATTTCGATCCGGTTTACTTGTCCAACCCGTAGTTTGTGCACCCTTATTGGCAACAATCTTTAAGAAAAGACATATACTCCTTCCGTCTTGGAATATTTGTCCTCTTAATTTTTTCTGTCAAAATTGGTAAATTTTGACTTCTAATTAAATAAAAATGATACTGCAGGTATTAATATTGATGCAAATTAAAAATTTGAAAGTTTTTTTCCAAACATTTGAAAGTCTTTTTTTCCAAACACTTGAATGTTTTCTAGTGGTGCACTGCAACAGACATACCTGGTCAAATTTTCATTATAAATATGAGAACATATTGGTACGTATTTAGGTTTATTAGAACGTCTCCTTCCTCATATAGAACATTTACAACTTATCTGGTTCAAATTCTTTTGGAATATCACTGACATAAATTCAATTTTAAAACGTTTACATGATTCGTAAAGTCTATCAAGTGATTATATTTCACATATATTTAATAGCATATAACGCTTCAAAGGAGCGCATCTACCCCTTCCAAATCCCAACAAAGATCAAAGTATTAATTCTCCGCGAGCGTAATTAATGATGGCGGGTAGCGAATCCGTGAGAGATACGATGAGCAAGTTTCCGAAACAAACAACGTTCAAGGGGCAAGACTTTAGGCGCTCGCAATGCCGCGTGATATTTTGAAAATGGTGTGTACGTTTGAGTATGCCAATGTACGTTTGAAGATGAGATGGGGGAACACACAAGTTGACGACCTTGGTGAATGGTTGTTTGAGCCTTTGTTCGTTGGATGCTTCAATACTATACTTCACCTAATTCATTCTACCAATTCGTTTGAATGTCATAGGATGACATTGAAACAAATTGTGGTACCTATAATGCCGAGTTCGTAAAATTGATGGTTCTTATTGTACTAAACTCCTAGACAAACATCCTACTCCGGCCTGACCAAAAGACACTCCTCACGAGTCACCTTTTAATGCCCAGTGTCCATTTATTTGTATAGACCAGGGTTAAAAATGAAATAAATGGTTCCAGCCAAAACATAAAAAAAAACCACCACTCCAAAGCTAAACTGACCCAGTATATTTGTATTGAACCCGATGACGAGATCAAATTGATAATTAATGTACTAAATAATAATTTTCAGGGGCAAGGTTCCCATGACATTGATGACCCGGGGGCGCTCAGGTGTCCCGTTCGTAAAATTGACGGTTCCTACCCCCCCTAACCCCCCGGTAAACCCCCCACCCCGCCCCGACCCGAACGACTCCAAAGTCAAAATCAACTTGTGGGGTGCAATTGAAGGGGGTGGGGGGTGCGTTCAGAAAGGAGAAGTAAAATGATGGCTAAAGACGATGTGGGAAAAGGACGCACGATCTGAAGAGAGTGAGAGATTGAGTTGCACTTTTTTCACCTTGCCTATCTAGTTTGTTCATTTAGCTATAAAAAAAAGATTTTCTCATCATCCAATTTAACCCGAAAAAATTGAGCTGAAGGATACGGAAGACACAAATACTCCCCCTGTGTCCCAATTATGTTTCTATTTACGATATTTGACTGAAGTTATTTTCAGAAGATTTTATTTGAGAATTGGGATGAAATTAAAAAAAATAAAAGTTACAAATATAAAAACTATTTCAAAAGTTCTTCGACGAAAGTGGTGGCATGACTATATTGTTTTATCAAATAAGTAATGAAAATAGAAAAAGAAAATGAATGAAGTATATTTGGAACGGAGGGAGTGTATATTTAAAGATCTACTGCGTTCAAAATAAGGTACCACAATGCCACATGACTATATTATTTTATCTAATAATAATAATAATAATAATAATAATAATAATAATAATAATAACAATAATAATAATAACAACAACTATAATAATCACATCTAAATAATTTTTTAGTCAATGCAAGAAAAAATTAGGAGTTAGAACGAATTGAAAGAGATTGAAAGGAGTTAAAGGAAAATATGTTTGATTTAAGAAATTAGGAAGAAAATGAAAAGAAAATACTAGATTTTTCTTATTTTTCTCATCAAACTATAAGAATTTTTATTTTTATTTTTTTTGTTAATTTTGCTTTTCTTTTTCTTCCACTTTTCTTTTCTTTTCCTCTACGACCAAAGAAGAAAAATTATTTTCCATCTCATTTTTTTCTCTTTCAAATTTCTTGAACTAAATATAATGTAAAAAATTGGAAGAAAATAGAACAAAGCTTAATAGTAAATGTAGAGAAATAAAGGGAGTAGGAGTATTATGGAGAATATTAAACTTTCTAAATGTACAACAATATAACATGTGGCAACAAAATGGCCTTGAACCTTATTCTTATGAGCATGAGAAGTAACAGTATACTGTATATATCACAAAGGAACTTACCAATATGTCTGGTGCAAGATGAACTGTGTATGACAAAATGACCCATTCAATTTTTTTTCATCAAGGACAAAAAGGTCACATAATTGTACACCCATTTGTGTTTTCTTCACTGAAGTAGGTGTGGTCACACCTGCACCCATTGTAACCACTTGGCTGTCCACACCGACACCAACCGGAGTAATTGTCGTAGCATGGCTGCGGCAGCGGTGGCGGGACTAGTGGAGCCATCTGAGGCCCGCCGTACCACTCGTAACCCGGCTCAAAGCAGTACATTGACGGCGGGTACCCGTGGGAAAACGGCATCACGGACACTTGCCCCGGGGGAGGCATGTTCATCACGGGCACCTGCCCCGGGCCAGGCATGTTCATCATCGGCTCCGGATGCTTCATCGGTATCGGGAACGACCCCGGAAGCGGGACACCTTGTTTGGGCATCTCGGGCATGTCTTTGGGCTTCTCGGGGCCTTTCGGTTTTTCCTTGGGCTTCTCTTGGTCTTTTGGTTTTTCTTTTGGCTTCTCTTGGTCTTTCGGTTTTTCTTTCGGTTTCTCTTGGTCTTTCGGCTTTTCTTTGGGCTTCTCTTGCTCTTTTGGTTTTTCTTTGGGCTTGTCAGCCTCTTTCGGCTTCTCGGAATCCTTGGGCTTCTCGGCAGGCTTGGGTGCATCCTTGGGCTTCTCAGCGGGTTTCGGAGCATCCTTGGGCTTCTCGGCAGATTTGGGCTTAGGAGGGTCGAGGATTTCAATAGTCTTTATTACACCACCCCCCTTGTAACATAGTTTGTCGCGGATCTTCTCGGGGCTACAGCAAACCACGGTGATCTTAATCTTATTCTCCTCCTCAATGTATATTTGGTCTCTGATTTCTTTGGTTCCCAACACATATATATATCATAATATATGTCAATCAAAAATCAAACTAAATCCACAGGGTAAGTACATAATGGACCTAATGCCCATATTAAGAATAAAAAAACATAAAGAGCCTCTAATATTTCAATGATAATAAAAGCTATGACAAAACAAAAGATAGCAGAGGCCATGGAATGGAAAACAAAGGTGATAAGGAGTGTTTATTACGCATTTATTGTCTTTTTTTTGGAAAAAAAGTGCATTTATTAGTCCAATAAATGTACTTTTTACAAAAATAAAAATAAATGTGAAATAAATGTTTGTTTGTTGTTACAGAAAAAATGTGGGACAAATACATCTTATAAATTGTACTCAAAGATAAGTTGTGTCCTTGGCAAAATGGAGAACAAAATATAATCCTATGGAGAAGCATACATTTTTTTTAATGATGATAATAAACATAGAAAAAATGCTTAAAATAATTTGTTCTTTTTATTTTATACCGAGTAATGGGGTGATAATAATTTGTTAAAATCAAGGAAGAACCCAAAGAAAGTTTTTATGATGAAACTATGGATATAGTTCTCCAGAAATAGAAATAGAAGTAGTGTCAACTTTGCTATTTCAAAATGTGATTCATTTTTCAACAGAAAACGAATAATTGTATTGCACCCAATATTGAGGAGGAAGGAACAATGACAAAGAGATCCCAATAATGTTAATAATTGTAGAATATTCCCCTAATAATAATGGAATAATATAATAATAATAATCATTAAACAAACCCATTAGTATTAAAAACACTTTTTATTTCGACGATATTTATCAATATACAAATATAATTATTAATGATCAAAGTATTGTATCGAGAGAAGAGTCAAATGTAAAGATCTTTTTGGGAAGAGATAATAATAATAACAATAATGGATGAGTAGATCCAACTAATTCATTCCTGAAAAGAAAGGAAAAAAAAAGGAAAGAGGGATTAGAGATACTGACGAGGGAATTTGCAAATGACTTTTTTAGCCTTCTTGTAGCAGCTTGAGCACTTGAGATCAACACCCAGAACCATAACAGTGATCTGTTCCATAATCAAATCCATTAATTTTCTCAACAACAAAAAATTAAAATTGATACAGAAGCCCAATTCAGGCTACCAAACAGTCCCTAAACTTCCCCAAATTTTCACCAAGGAGACTGTCGGCGAAGAATCTGAGAGTAATGAGAGTCTGTAATCGAAATCCAGATTCGAAAAAGTGTCCCCTTGATTACGGCTCATAACATATATAAAAAAAATAGGTCAAAATCTACTGGAAATTGGATCGGTAAGTGTTAATTTGCAGGCTGAAATGGATGTGTAATACCTTCTCGGTTTTGTCGTGCGCCATGGCTGAGACGAGACTCTTAATGAGGAAGAAGGAATCGGTCTCTGGCTGAATCTGCAGATGAAAATGGAGAGAGAGAGAGAATTGAAATTGGGGAGAAAGAAGAAGTGGGGAAGTTGAAGAGAGAAGGGAATAAAGGGAAGAGTTTGGTGATAGGAAGTTGAAGAAGGAAGAGTTTGTGTCCCAGACACAATTATGTGCTTATCTGTACGAAGCACACTCATGGTAGCACCCACATGGTGGCAGCATGTGGTGATATCATCAAGGAAGAAAAAGATGGAAGAGGTAATTATTTAATGGCCGAGGGAGGGGGGAGGGCCCCACGTATTTCTGTTTCGGGGATGACTCTATGCTCTCTCTTGCATGTGCACGCATCATCACCCCATATGACTATGCAAAAATTGCCACTCCATTAGCCTTCACTTAATTTGAATGATTCTGATATGATTAAAATAAGTTTTGATTTAGTCTGATATATAACAGCTCGTCATGAGTTTTTAGCTCATTTGCCTCTATGGAGTAATATACTTAATGGCCTCTGACCCATTTAACTTAATTATTTGTCTTAAAAGTCGATAGACAACGACCCGAAGCCCTTTAGGCATTTTCACTCGATTATTCACTTCAGTGGAATGAGAATCAATTTGCAACTGGGGGAGTACAATTGTCTTTAATCAACATTTCAACGTTGAACAAATGATCAATTTTCAAACTTCATGTGAACATGTTTAAACACAATGGCTGGCTGTAGGCTATAGGGGGCTTAATTGGGATTATTTACGAGTAGGATTTAGGGTTAATTTGTTGGGGTTCCACTCCAATCCAAACCCACTTTTGACGCGGGAAAAGGGCCGGTGGGGTGTTCAAAAATTAAAATCGACACATAAAATGAGTGTTTAGGCCCCGTTTGATACACGGAATTATGGAATTCGAATTGGAGATAACAATTTCAATTCTGCTGTTAGCATAAAAATATGTGAATTTGGATGGGTAGTGCCAAAAATGAATTGGAATTGGAGAATTCAGTTCCATCCAAATCAATTCTTTCAAATTTCAACTCCCAATTCAATTCCATTTCCGTGAAATCCGTGTTCAAACGGATCCTTATTTCCTAACTCGGATAACTGATCATAATTTAAATATCATGCAAAGCATGATTATTCTTTAACGCAGTTACGTTGTCAAGCGTTGAATCCAAATGTATCCCTTTCAGCACTCACCTCAATCCACTCACAATGCCACCCGAGTTAAATTTGACGTATAGTATTAAGATTGTCTCTGAAAACTCGAGGTTAAGATGAGATCAAAGGAGGAGTTATGGAGATAATTATGACCAATGTCAAAAGAAAATAGATGGAAGAAAAAGAGAAAAAATGCAAACATGTATTTTAAAATCTTTTTTTTTTATGTTTGATTAGAAAAGAAAATGTAGAGGTAAAAGAAGAGCCTTGGTAACCATTGGGAATAAAATCTCTCCTCACAGAGGAGAAAACCATACCAATGAAGAAAACTTTTTGAAATTACTCTTTTACCCTTAAAGCTTTTGGTTTCTTTAAAATAAAACAAGGACAAAAAGAAAAAGATGTTAAGGTAGATGTTAGACGGATGATAGATGGACCAATGATGGATCGTGTAGGATGCAGGTAGAGATTTTTCTCACCCGTCATCCAATTCATTTAACCCGGCTCGTTTATGTTTACTTTAGAAAAACCAAAAATAAAAATATTAGCTTTGTTGAGTATTTACATAAGTTTCTTTGCCAGCTTAACTAATATCGATCTTAACTTTCTAAGAAAAACCGTGTTATATATGCTTTATAAGCTTTTTGTTTCACGAGAATTATGGTTAAAAACTATTACTAATAGCATCGATTTTCACCCGTTTTCATCCGTTTCACCTACGTGTGACAGATGAATCAGGTATGAGTGATGTGTGTAACAGATGATAGATAAATCGGGTGATAAAAACGAAATGAATAGATAGATGAGGGTGAAACTTTACCGGACCTAATAATGTCATCCCTATCCTAAACAGTCTAACCTTCCTTTTGTAACGGTGGCCGCCCAGCATTTGAGTGTCGTCTTCTACATTAGTCCATTCCATCATTACGAAATCATAAATTAAAAGTTTGAAATTGCTAATCGTCTTTAAACTTACATTTGCCCTCTAATAAAGAAATTATACATTTTCTTTTTCATTCGTCTAAAGAATAGAATTTCATTTTCTATTTCTAAATAATCTTTTGTATGGTTCATGTGAATGGCTTGTTCTCTTCACTTTATTCTCTATCTGATTTGGTTTGATCTGATCTGGTTTGATCAGCTCTAGTTTGATTTGATTCTAATGTAGCTATATCTAAATCTGTTTTTATCTAATCTGTTTATATTTCAATAAGAATAAGTAATAAGAATAAGTAATAGGTAATAAGAATGAGTTGAAGAGAAGATGCTCAAAGTACGTAGTATTATTTTATTCTGAGTATTTTTTTATCTCTTATAAATGATTTTCAACTTCATAATTTAACGTTTCTCAATAAATATACTAATTACATTAAGGCTTTGTTTGGTACACGAAATTCAAATTTTAAAATTGGAATGAAAAACAACAACTCCAATTCTGCTGTTTGGTAGCACAAAAGTACGTTGATTTTGGAATTGGTAGTGTCAAAAATAAATTGGAATTGGAGAGTTCAATTCCTTTCAGCTCAATTTCTTAGAATTTCAACTCTCAATCCAATTTCAATTCTGTGTACCAAACACACCCTAATTATAATCTCTAATATAATGTCGGCAGGGCGCCTTTATCAAAGAATTGAAGTTTGGTACCATTTCATTTTCTATAAATTCCGGCTGTAAAATGTACACTTTTTTAGGGTGGACTTGTGGACGCAAATGTTTAGCCTGCACTCATTTTTTTTATCTTTGTTCATCCATGCCCTACAAATTTTTGACATTAATTACCCTATTTTGGGCTTAGTTTATGTCATGGGTGAGCTTGTGACTGGTGTGGTACACTTAGGGCTTAGCAACGGTAGGTTTTGGTCGGTTTCGGTTTGAAATCGAAAAAAACCAATTTTTTTAACATGGTTGAAAACCGATCGAACCGAACCGATCATAAACTAAAACCGACCGAACCGAAATCGAAAACCGTCCATACAACAGAAAAACTGACCGAAAAACCGAATTTTAATTACTTTTATTTTGGCTTTTTAATATAAATTCAAGAAACTAATTCAGCAAGGTAGATTGATATGTACTCCCTCCGTCCCCAATTAAACTTCCACTTTCGTTTTTTCTTTGTCCCCAAATAAACTTATCTTTTCTTTTTAAAACCCATTTTATCCTTTACTTTTTCATACCCTACCTATCACATCATATTTTTTTACTAATAATCTACATATCACATCTTACTTTTATACATCACATCAAGGATATTTTTGGAAAGTCAACACAAAAATATCCCTCCCTTAAATCCTTAAAAAGTAAAAAGGAGAAGTTTATTTGGGGACGGAGGGAGTATTAAATTAGTTTAGATTAAGACTTTTCTATTGTCATTAATTTAGTAAGGTAGATTAATTTTTATTTGAATATACACTATCCATTTCATATAAAATTTGCACTTTTCTTATTAACATGTTCAAAACATTAACAAATAATTTTTTTAAAAGGGAAACATTAAAGTTTTTCATGAAAGAGTAAGAAGAAAGCATGTGCGTTAATCAAATATTTTCTTATTGTAAAAAATAAAAAATAAATTAAAATAAAATCATCGGCTATTCAGTCGGCTCAGTTTTTTCTTACAAAAAACCGAAAACTGACCGAAATACCAAAAATGATTTTTACATGAAAACCAAAACCGAAACTTAACTTTTGGTTTTCGATTGCACGGTTCGTCTACTTAATTTGCTCACCCCTAGGTACACTATACAAGTCAATTAGGTGAGAAAATCAATGTTAGTAATTACATATATTTATGTGGGCCGGTTGTGTAAAGTGTAAACCCCACATGGGGAAAATCCTTGGATATATTCATGTGGGCCGGTTGTTTTTTCCCGCCTAAATTTTCCAGCTTCGGGTTGGGTGAAAATCCTTGGTCATTCGGATATGGACGGGTTTGGTGGAATAACATAGACAAACTTTATCAGAGGCGTGAAAACATTGTAACTTTTGAACTGGGCTGTGTGTTTAAGCAGCCTTTGAATGGTGTGCTTTATGGAGAAATTAAACAGTCCACTTTAATAGAAGTCGTGAGGGCATTACGGAGAAATTGAACACTCCACTACTATGTGATTTTTAAGATTTTATAATGAAATAGTATCTCAAAAGACTTGATAGTACACTTAAAATTCTCCATATTATTTTCTTGGTGAAAAAAGTACAGTTTATCTCCACAATTTGATAAAGTTAGCATTATAAATTATTTAAATTTTATACTAACGCAAACCCTTTAAATCCAACTTCATTTACAAAATTCAGTATTTAACATCAAAAAGAATATGCAGTATTAAATTATATTCATATTCATATCATTTCAAAACCTTTGGATCTGGGATTTTATAATAATTTTTTTGAAAGTCGAGAATTTTAATAATTCTAATTTTATTGCAGCTTTATTCAGTAAATAATAAAATTTAGATAATACAGAGTACTCCCTCCATTCCTATTTATCCATCTATTAAGGTTAATTCACGCTTATTAAGGATGCATTAATTCTTTTTTTGTATGGTCAAGAATACCCTTGTTAATTCAATCCTCCATCCTTATTAACTTTATGGAGACCATGAAAAGTCTAATTATCCCTCAAAAAAAATGAAAAGTCTAATAATCCCTCAAAAAATGAAAAGTCCCTTAATCACTTGGAAATCTTCAATAGTACGGGGCTTTAAATTTTAAATTTAGACGGAGTATATGTGTAAACAATTAGGGTAAAAGATATTTGTACTTCATTTCGTACACTGCAGGGATGCACTAACATTTTGTGTTAGTGTTATGCAATTTTTTGTTAACGCACCAACACTTTGTATCAATGTAAATATTTGTTAACGCACAAACACTTTGTATCCGTGTAAATTTTTATTAACGCACCAACACTTTGTGTCAGTGTGAATCATCAAAATGTTGATGCATACCTTTGGTGTACAAATGAAGTATAAATTTTAGGATACCTGTAGCATGCTCCAAACAGT